TTAGTCCGTATCCCTTCTTTATCATTCACGCAGCTTATACTGCCCACTTTGTTTTATCGCACGTTTATTTATGTATCTGGGTATGATAACTTTTGGGTACCCAATTTAGGCGTTTATTTTAAATGTTAAACAAATCAACATTTATTTTTTTGAGGGCAGTTTCTTTTGCGTTTTTTTTTTCAATTACGTATGCAAATATCAATACGAAAAGTAAATACATGAAAGCCGTACTTAAAAGGTATTTCTAACATGTCATAAGTACTACGAAGTCACCAAGATTTTTGAAAGACATAAACTTGAAGTTTTGGAATTATATGAGAAAAACGAATGTACAAGATTCTGTTAAGAATTTCCTCATAATACGTGAAAAAACAAAATCTACGAGATTTTTTTAAGAATTTCCTCATATGCGTTGATGTATTTATTCGTGAGGAAATGTCAAAACACAGAACACGTGTAGAATGGTAAAAAATTGGTGATCTCGCACGGGTGAAAACAGCGACAGTGCGTTCACTAACTAAAGTTGTATATACTATTATAAATAATGTTTTTTAACTAACCTGACGAGTTGAAATGTAAATTAATGTATTCGATATTTATGTTGAAAGCTTAGCTTATTACGTTTTATTACTCCTTACATACGGGTGTAAGTAATGAAATTTGAAAGACAACGTTTTGTATTGTCCCATAGCTTTATTTCTGTATAGTAAATATTTATGATTTGTGATTTTAATTGTAAAACGCAGAATAACTATTTTTAGAATAAGTCATCTGATTTATTTAACAATATTCTTGAATATCAAATACAACATACAATAGAATCCAAAGAGCATTGTTATCAGTGTAGTTTCGCGAAGTCTTATAGCACAATTTCAACTTCTACGAAAGATTAGGCTGGAGTATTTATCCAGTTTCTTTATTCCCATGAAACCACATGTTATAAAAATAGATATCTGTTCGACGAATGTCTCGCCGTCTAATGTCAGGTAATGGCAAATTATGTGAATCTCAATAATATTCATATACATATGACTCAATAAAATTTGACCTCTATTTAATAATGTCATTAGAAAGTAAAAATACGAAGAAGCTAAATTAAATCTTTTCAAAGGCCGTTTCAGAGCAATCATGGGAGCACAAATGACCCATGTTGTCTACATTAACCCACTACTATTTGTGAGTTTACTTCTAACTAGACGTTCAAATGTCAAACTGAAAATTAACTAAACGTTATTGATGAACAATTTAATACCGCAGACGGAGCGTAGGTAGGCTCTCCTCAAGGTGGTCCGACGACATGGTGAAAGTCGCGTGAAACCTTTGGATACGTTCAGCACAGGACTGATGCGTACGTGCGAACCTTGGGAGAGGCCTATGAACAGCTGTGAACTTTCGGCTAAGATGACCAGGACTGATTGTTGTGACGAACCTTGGGGTAGGAGGCCTATGAACAGCTGTAGACCTTTGGTTGAGATAAACAGGTCTGATTGTTGTGGCGAACCTTGGGGTAGGCCTGTGAACAGCTGTGGACTTTCCGCTGAGGTGACGATGATGAACAAGTTGAGGGTTACTTCGATAAAAAGAAGCATCTAGAGAATGAAAGTAAGTAGGTCGTTAATTTTAAAATTCATGCACAACTGCTGCCTATGCTGAATTCTTTAATATCTACTAGCAAAATCGTTAAACTTTAAACTCTCTTGGATTATTTTAATGCCTATGAAGAAACTTTTAATAACAATGGTTTTCTCTTTGAATTCATCAATGAAGTGGTATTTTTTTGAGGAGGTAGGGCTAAGCGGTAGTTCTGTAAATATTTATATCCATTGAAAACCACCTACCAACTATCAGGCCGTGTACTTGTTAGGCAATTTCACTATATTAACCGTAACTTTAATGTCAACGACCGGCTGTCCAAAGATATAGCGCAAAATCCACAATAACCTAAAGTCTCGCTGTCTAAGTTAAATTACTTAAATTTATTTATGGAATATACTATCATTCTGATTTAACCATTAATGTACAGCTCAATGAAACTTCGAGATTGTAATCCTTTTATCGTACTTGTATGAGAATTAAACGATATGTTGGAGTTTTAAACCCATTGTATTTATCGTTAATTTCCATTTTTTTAACAAATTGAAGACACAATCATTATGATAAACATTTGCGGGTTTAGATAGTAACCCTAATGCCTAATGCATTCAAAATGTACAAAAAGCAATAGGCTTTTTGTGGCATAGGACATGAAGAGACCGATGACAAATGAATCCCGTTACCGTGAACTGCAACTACGAGTAGCAAAAGTGCCCTACCGCCTCTTGAATCGCTTCTTTTGATACTAATTTTCAGCATTCAACAAGAATTTTCAGTATTAGCTCAACGTTTTTGTTCTGTGTGGTTTCCAAATTTTAAGTCTGATATATTACTTTGCGGGTTTTTTGTAACGCATGATCAGCTGGCGATTCTACATGTAAAAATAGTTACGGCGGTTCGTAAGCACGAATAAATATAATCAAAATAACTATGTAAAGAATTTCTATGAGTCATCACGCTGTTCTATGTGTATGGAAATAGTAAAAAAAACTAAAACTTTTAAACTCTTTAACTTTTGTGCCTCTGATGAGCATGACTTTGTTAATCGCTGACCGAATAAATCGGGGCTAATAGACACTGAACTTTTAATAGTATGGTAATGAAACCAAGTAATAATCTAAATATAATTTACATTAATATCACTTAATATCTATACTATAATTCTAAAGCTAAAGAGTTCCTTTGTTGGTTTGTTTGGTTAAACGTGATAATCTTCGGAACTATTATTTCGTATTGAAAAATTTTAGTGGTAGATAGCTCATTTATCCAGGAAGGCTAACAAGCATCGATAACAAGTGTTGGAATTACGGGTAAAATGTATTTCTTTTGAGGGACGCAGAGGAAGTTCCGAAATTCAGCAAGTTAAATTATAAAATCTTGGAATTTCAAAAAATATCTTGGATCATCTTGTAGTTAGTTTTGTAACTTCTAACGGCATTTGTAAAGTTATACATAGTGTGTGATACCTGTAAATAAATACTCGAGAAACCACCCGTAACCTCAAATTTTACATCAATAAGTAGCAAAAATTACTAATACTCAAGGGCATTAACAAATCGTGTTTTAAAAGACTATCAAACCGTGTGTTAACAAACATGTGGGTCATAATATTGTGTATTAAATTCAATTTCTGTCAGTGTTTTAAATAACCTACGAAAAAAACTAATGACGCAATCTCTTTTAGAATAATTAGAGTAGGTTCATATCCGTTATCATATAAGGTAGCTATTTCATTATTAATATGAATTCTATGAAATAAAGTGCAACTTTTGTATTTAACAAACATTTTCATACCACCTACTCTATCTGACGAAATATTTTAATTTAGAAGTTTTGGGCAGTGGTCCTACTGCTTCGTTCAACTAGTTGGACTGCGAGTCTTTACTAGGGATCGTGGACCAACTATTTCAGAAGTTGGACTAACGACGCCCTTTCATAGTTCCGTGGTCCAATTTTTTAAATAGATTATGAGAGGGAGTCGTTAGTCCAACTTCTGAAAAAGTTAGACAACGACCCCTAGTAAAGCCTCGTAGTCCAACTAACTGAACAAAGCAGTTGGACTACTGCCCCGTACCCGATGTTTTCACACGTATCAATGACTGATGACTTAAAAAAATTAATAAAAAGTTGAAAATAATTTCATATGGTAAATAAAGTATGCGGTTCTCGATTTCAAGTGTTAAATATACTTTATTGGTAGCTATTTATAAAAGTACAGTTATTTTTAAACTATAGGAAACAATTCTATGATACTTTTTGAATAAAAAACATTATCTACACAGTTAAAAAATCCACTTTGTTATCTATTAAAGCTGTTTTTTTAGCTTTGATTTATGGTAATAAATATTTCCAATACATATATTTATTTAAAATTCAATCACTCAAATGAAATTCCAATTCAAAAACAACGGACAACGAAACAACAACGGATAAGGACATGGTCTGTTAAGGTGAGACTAACTGTCCATGATATAGATTTTAGTTACGCTCGTGTTAAAGAATTGTTAAATGAGAACGATAATAAATAAAACGATTAAAGATCTCACTCTTGTTAAGTGTATGGTCTATAAGACCAATAACACGGAACTAAAATATATTAGTAATCGAATAATTCCTCGTGTTCTTGGACACCACTTTGCTTGACTGACCACGACTGCCTTTCATTGTCCGCCAACCTAATCGTGTAAGTAGTGGACAAACCTACACCTCAAAGTCATTTAATTTTGATCCCAATGCTGGTGTTAATACGAACTGTTTTAAATTTATTTCATAATTCATTGTTGGTCCTGTTTGTAATATAACAAGAATACTAGTGCTAGCTTTGGCAATACTAGTTGTGGGGACTGTCTTATCTTTTAGGTCAAATTACAATTGCCTAACTTCGTATCCAATATTGGTAATTTCGTGTTCGTTTTCCTGATCTATAAGCAAAAAAGTGTAGAGATAGCTTGTAAATGAAGCTTTTTGAATTACAAATACTTATTCTTCAAATTATTATTTTATATTTTATTAGATACATTAAAGGTTTACAATTCTATGTTTATGAGTTAAATGCACTTAAGATTATATTTTACACATTACACAAAATGACTTCGCAGTTGCTTTTTATGAATTTAAGACATCGTATATTTTGGTGTCATTGTTGCACACTACACACAACATAATTAATCTGACCACGAAATTCTTTCGTTATGTTATGTTATGACCGTCATATACGCACCAAGGTCACTTCATTGACAACTTACATTGTTCTATACAGTTATGTTATTACGTCTAAAATTGCCTTACCTTTTTCATTTTATATCCGGACAGTATAAATAAACCTGCGAGCGAGTTAAATTTATCAGTCGACCGTCTACGGTTTGAAGTGAACTTGTTCGTCAGAAAAAACACAGACCACGTTCATAATGAAATCGATGGTGGTGTTATTCGCTCTTTGCGCCGTGGCTTGCGGCTCAATTTTGCCTCTGGCGCAGCCAGCATACCACTCAGCGCTGGTACTGGACCCACATGGACGTCCTCTTGACACCGCTGAAGTAATCAATGCGCGTGCACTACACCTGCAAGCTAAGGCTCTGGATGGACACTACGGTCACGCTGCTCTCGTTACACCCTACGCTCACTCAGTTGCTGTCGCTCCCGCTGTGGTTGCTGCTCCTGCTGCGGTGTCTCACCAGTCCCGTGTGGATGTGCGTCACAGCCCAGCCATCGTGAGCCAAGCCGTCATCGCTCCCGCATACGCCCATGCCGCTCCCCTGTACGCCCATCCTTCTCCTCTGTTGGCCCACTCCGCTCTCGGCTACGCTGGTCACTACCTGCACAAGCGTTCCTTAGGTCACTACGCGTACGCTGCACCGACTTTAGTCGCTGCACCATCCGCGGTATCACACCAGTCCCGTGTTGACGTAATCTCCAGCCCCGCTGTGGTATCTCATGCCGTGGCCGCACCTGTATTGGCTCATGCCGCTCCCGTTGTAGCTGTCGCACCTGCCGCCGTCTCCCATCAGTCTCGCGTAGATGTACGCAGCAGCCCTGCCATCTTCGCTCACGCTGCCGTTGCCCCCATCAGCTACGCCGCTCCATACTATGGTCATGGGTACTACAACTCTGCCCCCCTGGCCCATGGCTGGTGAAGAGCGAAACTGACGAACACCTAAGACTATTAAACTAAGATGATGTAAAAATGTAAAAAAATATATATTTATAATTTAAAGTTAAAATACTTTTATTTCACTTCATTATTAACCAACAGCGATTTCTCGGTAAGCTTAACTGAAATGTAGTAATATGAGCATCTAAGTTGTTTTGTTCTTGGTCAACTTATTCACTCGGTCAACAGAAATTTGAAGTTTTCGTAATTTTGAACATTAATTAGATCTTTTATATAATAAAAGTATTACCGACTTCAGTCAGAACAAAATGTTGAAAATTGTAATAAGCCGTGGTTTTTCCCTTAATTTGGCCTTCTAAAATATATTTTTTTCAAATCTGAGTGAGACCTTTAATGGAATCAATTCACAAGAGGCAAATATCTCGTAACACGTAAAAAAATAATTTAAATGGAAAAGGTCGTCATTTTTTAATCTTCTTAGCTCTTGCTGGTGGCTAAATTTGGCTAAGATACAATATTTTACAAATTTATGTAAGTAACAATAGCCTAGAATATAAAGCAATGACATGCTTTGTTACCTTGTAAAATTTTTTGCTTTTCTCAATGGCGAGACGTTGATTGTTGAAGTGTCCTCCTGGTACTTCACTATTACTCGTACTTTCACCGTCTTAACTCGTGACGAACTAAAATTCCTGTACAACTACACTAAAGCAATCGAATCATATTATTTTAATCACGATTTTAAAGTGTTAAAACTATTGGCGTTTTTTTTAAAGAAAATTTGTGAAATAAGGTGTAGTTCTTTTGTACTTGTATAGGCTGAAGAGTGGACTTTAATGGGGAGGCATATTTTCTACTGGACTTTGACCATAAAGCAACAGCTTTTGCTGATGTTCTGAAGCAAGAATTAAAGTCCATCCAATGTAATATCCTCAAAACGGAGCTGTAAGTCTATGGCAAGAGTTGCGCAGTTAAAATACTTAGGTTACATTGAAACTAAAGACTTCAAAGACAAAAATAATAATAATAATAATAATAATATTCTACCACATACACAACGCCATCTAGTCCCAAACTAAGCAGAGCTTGTACTATGGATACTAGACAACTGATATAAATACATATATACTTTTTTTTTTGTAAATAAATACATACATATTATACATAGAAACACCCAGACCAATTCAAACATTAAATGTTCATGCACACAAATGCTTGACTTGAGCGGGAATCGAACCCGCGACCTTTGGAATAGCAGTCCGTTACACAAACCACTACGCCATTCGGTCGTCGAACAAAATAACATTAGGAGGGAGCGTAGGGCGCCGTCTGCTAGTGAAGTATATTTTGTAGGTTAACTAAATGCCTCATATGTATCCAAAATTTATGCCGTTAATATTTTAACAAAAAGAAACATATTTTCTTAATTTAGGAAAACTTACAAATCATACCATACAAAGTTCACAAACATGTTTTATAATTGTACGCTGAGGTCTTAAGATACAGAATCATCTAAGAAATACTTGTTTTTTTATCAGACTGGAATCGATGCTTTATGTCATTTTTCTTCTTTTTTTAAACTTTATTGTTGAGTTCTAGAAATACTTACCACATACTTTGACATTAGTCAAGTACAAACTATTAATTTGCAATTATACATTCATGTTTTAGGATTACAATTTTTGCTAATGCACAACAAATGTTTTGATAACTTAACAAGATATTACGACCTTCATGTACCTTGTAGACTTCAGTACTTCTTGTAGTTTCATGATTCTAGACGATGATGATGAATTGATTACTATCTAAGGTTTAAACTGTCGTGTAGTATAATTATTCAGTAAAATTACAACAGCAGAATCAAAAGTGGGTGAAACTAAAATAAGTAACACATACTACTTGAAGTCCAAAGTCCTCTCAAATATTATTGCCTTATTTTTTTTTTCAAAATTAGACAATATACTTTGAATTGACTTATTTCGTATGATTAACATCTAGATATATACATTGATTGTTGATTTTTTGTTGTTGATTAAAACGAAATATGAATTTAAATTATGAGCTATAAACACTTTTATGAAAATTCTATGGTCATGCGTTATGACCATCATTACAAGGCGAGGTCACATTTCTTATTAATAACATTGTTCTATTAAAATTAGTTTAATTAGGCAAATCCGGTAAATATAAATACAACCGAATGTTGGTCAAATTTATCAGTCGACCGACTACGGTAATAACTGGACTAGTTCTTGAAAGCCGATACAAACAACATTTATAATGAAATCTTTATGGCGTCGCCTTTGTGACTCAGACGCCGCATCTCCCAGCGCTCGTACTGGACCAACGCGGTCGCCACCTTGAGACTGCTGAGGTGATCAATTCACACGATCTGCATTTACAAGCTAAGGCCCTCGAAGGTAACTATGGACACGCTGCCTTCGTTGCGCCCTACGCTCTTAGTAGCCCTCGCTCTCTCCTACGGATACAACACTCCTCTGCTGGCTGACTCCGGCCTTGGCTACGCCAGTCACGGTCACTACCTGTACAAGCGCTCACGGGGCTTTACGCTCACCGCCTACCGTTTGCTGTTTTACATCAGTCCCGCGTTGACGTACACACCAGTCCCTCGGTCATTAACCACGGTGTAGTTGCCCCAATTGTTACCGTTGTAACTGCAGCTCGTTATGGTGCTCTAGCCAAGATCAAACAAGCCGCTGTTGATCCTATTTGTTACGCCGCCTCTTACAACTATGGCCATGGTTACTACAACTTTGCTTGGTGAAGAACTAAACCGGAAAATAGCTGAGACTTTGAATCTAAGTGAATCTAAAAGTAATAATAAAATAATTATGAAAGTTTACCTTTTAATTTCTTAGCTTGCCCATTAGTACTTTAGAAAGGCAAGCCAACTGCAACCATGCCATTATGGCTCATAATGATTTTAATATATTTAATACGACTATTTATTATAACATCAATAAATCTAAACCACATGAAAGACAATTGGTAAGCTCTGCTTAGCTTATTGTTGAGCATAATAAAATATGCACACATAATCTGTGGGCCTTAGTTGGCAACACCTGAGAGTTCGCTCTTATCCGTTTCCATACTACCGTATGTCGCTCTCTTATACTACTGCCACTTTGCTTTATGTATTGGCATTACAATAAAATACAAGGTGAGTTATAACCGTTTGTTATTTGCCCGAAGTGCTAACCTTAACAGTTACAAACATCGTAAAAGATATTTCAGGGCCAGATAAGGCAAACCAGCTACGAGCAATACATAAATACAGCAATGTGTAAATCTGCGGATCTCCTCATTCCTGATTCGATCACGCGGAGAAACTCCGAGCATTGCCCTCTCAATTGGGCTTTGGGTGAATTTCAGTCTTTTTATGAGGCCCATTGTGAGCGACTACGTCTCTGCATCTTAAGTCATCACTGGCAACAGACATTGGTCGAAGACTTTTGTCTTGAAACACTGCGGTATTTTGGACGTGAAAGTGTCACGCAGCTTACCAAAGGCTGTCCAACCTGTTTGGATTCGACACTTGCCCTCTTTTTTGAAGTTAGACATACCTAACTGCATAGTTTGTCCTAGGTAAACGTAGTCGGGGGTGCGTGGTCCGGAACCTCCTTGTGGTGCACCCTGGGCAACGGAGACGGCAGCGCCCCTCTCCCTAGGTGGGGGAGGCGCTGCCGCCTGCGGCCAATTCCGGCCGAGGTGGGAACGGCCCGTCAAGGGCTGTTCGGAGGGCTGCTTTCCGCGTGTCCCTCTGTTTGGCAGAGGGCATAGGGGAGAGCGGGCTGGGGGCGGACGGGTCCACTGCAGCTGGCTCTGTCCAGAGGTGGGGGACACTGGTCTGACGCAGACCACCGTCCGGCCATGTCGTAACCCTGACTGGCAACGGTCAGGAATGACGGCTCTTCGAGGGCTACGAGGAAGGCAACCTCTATAAAAAACCCTGGGGCGGACGGACCCGGTCTGGTGCAGACCCCGTCCGGCCCAGCCGTAATCCTGAATGGACAGGACCGGTGGATCTTCGGATCCGCGAGGACGTAAACCTCTATAAAAAATGCTCTAAGCCCACGTTCTGACGCCTGGCAAGGGGCTGAGTCACTGGAGGGAGTCCAGTGCCGAAGGCGTCCCCGTCGAAGGACGTTAAACTTAACATTATGACATGGGCCCAAAGATTGATAAATCTACCCAGGAGGGTACCAGACGCACTGCGTCTGGAGAATCCCTCCCGGAGCCAGACGGCTCCGGCAGCTCCCAAACGTACTCTGGGGGGAGCAACCTTTGTCTAACCTGCCCGTTGCCGAGCAGTAAATCCGGCAACCGAAATTACGCGGAGGACGCAAGAAACATGGAGATAGTGTCGAACACCGACACTGCCTCGGAGAGGAGCGGAGCGAGTACCCCTATGGTCTCAGCTGTGGAGCAGCACCAGAAGGGTACTCCAAAGCGCAAAAGGCGCTCGCTTCGCCTGGGCCTGAAGAGGCAATTGGAGTCGGCCTCGAGCGATGAAGCCTCGGCTCCCAAAGTCGGCACAAGCCGCAGAGGCGCTCGCGGCGGAGGCCGACTTCCTAGAGTTGCCCAGGAGCAGAAGACGGAGCCCCTACGCTCCTACACTCCCGTGAAGAGGGTCGCGTCCGAGAGGTCGACAGACGTGACCGAGGTGAGGAGCGAGAGGGAGGGTGAGCGGAAGCAGAGCAAAACCGGCAACCCCGTGGACCAGATCGAGGAGGCAATCGGCGTGGCCGATTGCCTGCTCCAGAAGTCCGGGGTAGCCAAGAGTCCCGAACAGGAGGCCCTGGTAGCGGTCGTGCGCTCCATAATCGAGGCGGGACGACTCCTCGTGGCCGAGAGCAAGGCCCACGCTAGGGAGAGAGCCCGCCTCGAGGCGGATCTCGCCAAGGCTCGTGCCCACGCTGGTGCCACACCAGCGTCTTCGGCACCTGTGGCGTTGTCCGCCCGTAAGGAGCCGGACTTAGTCCGACTCGTGGCGGAGATGGAGGAGCGTATAATGAGGCGCATCTCCGCAATAGAGAGCGCCCGTTGTCGCCCACCTCTGGCTCCGCCAAGGGCAACCTATGCGGCCGCTGCCAGGGCGGGCCTAACAGCCCAGCCAGCAGCTAGGGTGGCTGGGCCATCATCAGCGCCCCCGCCCCAGAAGACCGGAAAGGGCAAAGGGAAGGGGAAGGCGGCCCCAACCCAAGCCCCAGTCTCGGCCCCGGCTGACACCGCACAGCGCCCGTTGGAGCGGGGCTGGACGGTGGCCGGGGACAGTAAAAAGAGGCGGAAGGCCGCCAAAAAAGCGGCCAAGAAGGCGAGGAGGGACGCCGCCGCCGCCGCGAAGGGAGCGCCGAGGAAGCTCCGCGCCCCTCGCTCCTCGGCCGTCGTTATCACATTGACGGCGGAGGCAGCGGAGAGGGGCGTGGGGTACGCCGAGGTCTTGACGAAAGTCAAGGCCAACGTGGACCTCAAAGCCCTCGAGATTCCGGGCGTCCGGTGTAAAAACACACGGACGGGAGCCCGGCTCCTCGAGGTCGCCGGCGCTACCAGTGGCCCCAAAGCCGACGCCCTAGCGGCTAAGCTGAGGGAGTCACTGGATGCAGCTGACGTCCGAGTGTCCAGACCCACTAAATGCGCAGAAGTTCGCATTACGGGCCTGGACGACTCTGTCACGGCGGACGAGCTCAGACTCGCCGTGGCGGAGACGGGAAGCTGCCCTCTGGACAGCGTGAAGGCCGGAGCAATACGCTTCGGCCCCGGTGGACAGGGGGCAGCGGTTGTCAGCTGCCCCATCGCGGCGGCCCAGAAGGTCGCCGATGGACGGAGCCTCCTGGTCGGAGGTTTCCTGAGGGCGCAGGCACGACTCCTGCAGGCCCGACCGGCAAGGTGCTTCAGGTGCCTGTCGGTGGGTCACGTAGGGGTGCACTGCACGGCGGAGGCCACCGTAGGTGACCGATGCTTCCGCTGTGGCCAGCCCGGTCACAAGGCGGGTGGCTGCAACGCTCCGCTGCGTTGCTTTAGGTGCGCAGCGGGGGGCAAGCCTGCCGACCACCGGGTTGGTGGTAAGGCCTGTGCCCTATCGCGACCGAACCCGGGAGGCCGACCTTCCGCCTCCGAGCCGCTGATCCAGACGGAGAGTGCCGCTGGACAACCGCAAAGTTCGCTGCGGGATGCGGGGATGGAAGTCCAGTGATGGATCCACATCTCCGCATCCTCCAGGTGAACGTAGGCCACGGTGCCGATGCTCAGGATCTTCTGCTCCAGAGCATGGCACAGTGGTCATTCAACATCGCCGCTATCGCCGAGCCATATGTCCATCGGTTTCTCGGGCCTGCCTGGGAGACCGACTTGGACGGCACGGCGGCCCTGGTGCACGGTACCGCAGCCGGCACTCCACCTCTTGCGGTAGTTGCAAGGGGACGGGGCTGTGTAGCGGCGATAGTTGGAGATATAGCGGTCGTGGCCGCTTATTTCACGCCGAACCGAAACCTAACTGAGTACGAGCAATGGCTCGCTCAGCTGGCCGTCGTCGTCGATGCCTGTCGCCCCCACCCGGTTCTTGTGCTGGGGGACTTCAACGCCTGGTCGCAGGCTTGGGGTTCCCTGCGCACGAACCCGAGGGGCAGGGCATTGGAGAACTGGGCTGAAAGATTCGGCCTAGTTCTCCTAAACCGGGGGGCCGTGGCCACGTTCGTGACGGCGAGGGGTAGTTCGATCGTGGACATCTCGTTCGCATGCCCCTCGCTAGCGCGTCGTGTCCAAGGCTGGCGCGTCGTTGTCGGGGAGGAGACAGGTTCGGATCACCGATATATTCGGTTTGACGTCTCCGCCCCTGCAGATGGCGCGCCGGTCAGACCGGCACCACCTGAACCACGTTGGGCGCTCAAGCGCTTAGATCGCGACCTCCTCCTGGAAGCCGCCATCGTACAGGCCTGGGCTCCTGCGCCGGACAGGCCTGTCGACGTCGATGCTGAAGCACAGTGGTTCCGGGAGGCCATGACCCGCGTCTGCGATGCGGCGATGCCTAGGGCTCAGCCCAATACTGCAAGGCGCCAGGTCTACTGGTGGTCGCCGGAGATCGCACGGCTGCGTCAAGCCTGCGTGACCGCGCGCCGCCAGTGGTCCAGGTTCCGCAGGAGGCGTCGCCGCCCCGAAGATGCGGCAGCGAGAGAGGCGGAGCTGTTAGCGGGTTACAGGGTTGCCAAGAGGACCCTTCAGGCAGCGATAAAGCGGGCCAAGAGCGAGGCCCGCCGCGAGATGCTGGAGACACTGGAGCGGGATCCGTGGGGACGCCCCTACCGTATGGTTAGGGGCAAGATGCGCCCATGGGCCCCGCCGCTCACACGGTGTCTTCAGCCAGAGCTGCTTGAGAGGGTCGTTGGCTCCCTGTTCCCAACGCGAGTGGTGGAGCATACTCCGCCACAGATGGCTCCGCCTCCGGCGCTTGAGGCGCCTAACGTGAAATGAAATGAAATGAAATGAAATGAAATGATAATTTAATTGCAGAAATATGGTACATGGGCTGTTTATAGTTATTAGAAGAGAATCACATATTTCGTCAGTCTGTTCTGACATGCAAAATTTGAAACATACATGCATATTACAACAAAAGATTGATTAAAACAAACTA